GGTTAGACCAAAAAAAAAGACTCTACAGTAATAAATTTAGAAAGATGCAGCTTCTATTATTCTTGTCAGTTATTCAATATTCTACCTACAGCCATTTCATACTTACAAAAGTGAGCAGGTACTCCCTTTTCAATCTCATGTGGCATTCTCATTCCTGGCTATACAATGGACATTTTGGATGAATGTCCCTGCAAACGGATTAAATTTACCTTCAGTCAGATACAAGCGGATCAAGCCGGTGAAAACAAATGATGAATTTGCTAAACCATTAAGTGCAAATACATCCCCACAAAAAAAGAGAGCTTGGTTTCACCTGACATTTGACCACAATCTAGGTCATTTGCTTGTAACCAGTGCTGCCAGCTTTTCCGGGAAATAATGGCTTTTCCTTCAAACTTGTGCTCAGCAGAGAACCAGAGTTGCTGGATTGGCTTTCTGCAGACCCTGGTCTGATCCAGATTTTTATGTGCCCCTCTCTGCTGACGGTAAGGACAGATTCCTGAGTAAAATTCAAACCAGATAGAGGTTCGGTGTGAACGCGATGAATAACCACTGGGGAGAGCTTTGGAACATCACGCATGCTTGGAGCGGGTTGCAGGGTACCCACTGGGCAAGTGCTGTCCCAATGGGATGATTGACTTGCAGTACTGAAAGTGGGGGACCCTCCAGGAGGCCGCCGCATTGGCACAACAATCTCATCCGCTTCCAGGTCCCACAATAGCAATTGTGTGTCCTGCAAAATAACACTAGGTTGAAGATGATACATGAAGATATTGATTCAGCCAAATTGCACTATGAATGAGTAAGTGGTACAGATCAGCTGTTGGCGAGCATCCACGGACAGTACAAAACTGGAATGTCAAGTGTCATGTTTAGATTTTAAGGACAGACATCCATGTCAAATGCAATTACAACTTAGGGTTGTATATGCCCCCTTATTTGCTTTAATCAAGACAATATATAACATGTCCTGATGTCCAAGCTTAACTGAAAGGCCATTGGGGTTGGGCGCCTGAGGTGATTAATAACCAAGTAGTTTGCTATCACTGACCAGAATTAGGGGGTCTCAGCTTGATAGACAAAAAACTAGGCATGTCAAAATCTGACATGACACGATTAACCAACACGAATCGACACGAATTAAATGAGTTTAGGTGAGACCTTCACGGATTGAGTGGTAAACGGATTAACCCGCTAAACACGTTTAATAAACGGGTCGTGTTCGGATGAGACCTATCAACCCGTTTATCACCCATATACCCATTTAAAAAAATTAATAATTATTTTAAAAAATTTAGTCAGAATTAAAATATTATATACAAAAATATGATAAATGAGTAAAGAAAAATCTTAATTCAAAAAAGCCAGTGAAAAGACATTTGAAACTTGACAGAAACCACCCCTCCCCCCTTCTCTCTATTTGTCTAGCATTTCTTGTTTCTTTTTGGCTTCTGCAGATGAGATGGAGCTTGGTTTGAGCTTGGGAGATTCATCAAAACCATTTGAGTTCTTGCCAAAGAATCGAGAGCTTGGCAAAGGTGATGCAATAGAGATTGAGAAATTGAGGAAATTCGCGAGGTGTATTGAGTTATTGTTTCAGGTGGTGGATGATATTCTTGATGTTACTATGAAAGCTTTGGCTTGAATCCCATATCAACAAATTTAAATAAATGAGACCTCTTATGCCTATAAAAGGCTGTAGCCCCTTTCTTTAGTCAATCAACCCTTCTCATTTGCTTTTGCATGTGGCAGCCAACTGAAAATTTTTTAATTAAGAGAGTACAGTTGTTGTAAGTAGTTAATGAAGTTTAAAATTTTAATAGAATAATTTTTTGATGTGGGTTAAAATTTTAATAAAATTAAACAAGTTAAACGAATCGTATCGTATTCCTCGTTTATTAGACGAGTCGTGTTCGTGTTGAAGTCTTTCACCCGTTTATTAAACGTATCGTGTATGGATTTATATGTTTTTCACCCGTCACCCGTTTAACCCGACAAATTTGACACCCCTAGACAAAACTGTTATTCATCTCGAGTATTTAACAGAGAAGAAAATGTGCAAGTCTCTTGATTATTGACAATGAGAGGCGGATTTCCTTTTTTATTTTGGCCATATTTCGTAATGTGATAACAGTTTTCAATTTTTAACAATACAACAGGTGAAACTACCACAAGAAAGAAGCTAAAGACCATCCAATGCGAATTACGACACTTAAGAATGTCCTCATTTCAAATTCTATCTTTTTTTTTTATATGAACACACACAGGATACATGCATATTTTGAACATATTTTACCAAATATATTGCAGTCGCAAGAGCCAAAAATTTTATTCTGTCATAACACACATTTAACTTAACCTCCTCTTTTTACTTCCAATGACCACAATACACAACACTTTCAGCCTGCTTAATATTCTCGACCACAAGACATGTTACAAAAATCTTCATTTATTTTGAGAGGTATATTCCTTGAGAGGTATTAGTCAATCATAGTTTAAATAAAGCCCAGACATCTCTCTCCAATAATTATCCTCCTCGAATCTCACTTCACAAAATTACATTTTACATCGTCTTGACTCTTGCCAGTCTATAATATCTTTAATTGACATACATCAAATAGAATCAATTTTTTTGTTTGAACCCTGCACTAGTCTAGTCGGTGCTTATTTTATGTGTCAGTTAATATCCAACCAGCCACCCAAGGAGGTCACCTTAGTCACCTCCTGTTTATTCTCTCAACCTTCCATGCCCAACAACTTGTCCCAAAACTGTCCCTTTTTAAGAGGAGGAGAATTATTCTAGCATGATTATCACGATACTCTTTCAAACAGATGCATATCATACTTATATGGCATACTATCAAGAAAAAACTGTCACATACAAATGCAGAGTTCTAGATGTCTGTACATGACTTACTAGGCTATCAAACTCACAATTCGGAGACTGTACAATGCCATGATCCTATACAAGCAAAAACGATCCGGATAGTGAGAAAATTGCTTTTTCGGTAGCGATCAGAATTGTGTAGTATTGTACATTTTTTTGTTCCATTATATTGCTTGCTTCATCATGGTACTTGGAACTATCCTTTAAACAGAATTGACTACTGTCGAACATTTATCAAAATGCTGGTTCTGTTGTTATATTGAACTGGTTTAAAGTGGGATGCTACAAGAAAAAAACAAATGTGAATGCAAGGATTCAAACTTTGATCTTCTCACGCACCTCCTTAGGGCTCTTACCTTTTTAGCTACATTCTTATCAACTTGCAGACATGTAGGTTTGCCATAATATTTCTCTATTTTGCATACTGAGTTAGTTTCATATATATTTTTAAGAATTCTATATTTTTGTTCGTATTTTTAGTCCCATATTGCCAGTTTGTAAGATCTTATTATTCTTAATTTGATCCTACGATCCCGATTCTTTGCCTCACCAGCTGATCCAAGTTATGGATCTTGATTTTAACAAATTTGGCTACTTATAAGGTAGCCAACCATTATGAACTCAATTGAAGCTAACGCAAGCAACCAGACACTCAACAATTGTTCACATTTAAAAGGAAGAAAAGACCCGATCCTAGCATGCATGATGGATGAGTTTACCTTGATTAAGCTGAAGTTAAGCTACGATCCGAACCAACAACACTTTAACATACCTGACCAACCGAACCAAACCGGTACACAATACTTTCCCCTGTGCCATCTGAAGTTGGTGCCGACCAATACGAATCAACGCAACTCCACTGACCTGCCACCCTCCAGTAAAATAAGCAATCGACTCCTGGTCGCAGACAAAAAACTCAATAGTTTATACCCGCATACTACAGGAACTTACCCATGAGTTGTGTCCCTCACCCCATGCTACAACCTTTCGATCTTCCATACTCCAAACTTGAACTAGATCATCTTCACCTCCAGTCAAAATGTACTTTCCATCCATGCTGCCATAGCTTTCATTGTCAGTTATTCTATTCTCTAGAGACATGTCAATAACCACAAATACATAAAACAAGAAAAGAGTATCATTCTATAAAAAGACGAGACATCAAGCAAATTTCTAAGGCCTGATGAAGACAATCCTCTCTTAGGACCAGAAAGCAAATCAAGCTTCTCACCTCCAAGCACAACATAATAGAGCACCATAATAGCCTTTTCCACCACATACAAGTTGTTCATTATTGTAGTTGAATACTCGCAAATAACCTACATTCAATATCTGACCTCAGTCCTCCAAAAGGAACAGAATATACGAAGGAAAAATAAACAGAGCATCTCTAAGATAAACAATACCATCCCTTCCAACGGTTGCAATATAGGCTCCATCAGTTGAGAAAGCAATGGTATTAATTGAACCTTGGCAAATATGCCATCTAGCAACTGGATTCTGCACAAAACCACAGGAAGTCAACTTTGAGAAACTGGAAGCACTGCATGGATATTACGTCTCTAGACAGTCACCCAAATTTCCCTTGAAGTTGCATATACTCCCATCAATATTATCATGCTAAGTTCATCCAAACAATCTAAAAAAGATTGGGAATTTTAAATCAAGTATGTCACAATGTCAAAGCACACTCAGAACTAGAAAGAAAAACTAAACCGAATATTAAAAAAATAATGACCTTCCAACTTCCTTCCCTTGTCCACCAGGAAAAAAATGACTTCACTCTACATGATGCAATGGGCAAAAAACACAGGTAAAACATGCACCAACATGGTGAGCCAGTCAACCACTGAACTAACATTAAGAGAGAGAGCAAAGTAAGCTGAATATGCCTTGAACTATTTGGAACTAACTGATAAGATGTCAAAATGATTCATACTACACGAGAGAGTAATGCAGCAGTTTTATAGACAACAAAGAATAACTAAAAAAAATAAACCATCAGATTTTCTAGCACACTTTGGAACAATTACTTAGAATACTTCATGTTGATGTCTCTTTTGCTCATCAGTTCTAACTGTTTTAAGGATATCATGGGTCTGCCCACCTCTAGGCTGTGTACTATTTAATGTTCATTTCTATAATAAAAGAAAAAGGAAAGGTCACTTATCAATGCATACTTTTTACTGCCAATTACGATAATAGTTTTACTCTTGATTTTTCTAACTGCCTTGCTCTCCCACTGTTCCAGCTTGCTCCAAAATTTCTTATATAAAGTTCTGACACTAGTTGAAATTAAAGAAACAAAACATTACCTTCTGAAAAAAGAAAATGAACCAAAGCATTACTAAGCATCAAACCATATGACATGGACACTCCCCAACACAACTTGTAAACCATAGATGAATTGTACAGTACCTTACTGTAACGTGCATGTGCAACAGAAAATTGAGTTTGATCCTTGATAACAGGGAACGAAGGATCAGCGGAACCATCTTTGCTCTATAAAACAATAGCAAGAATAAGAATAAATGGTGATCACTTCTCAAACAAGTATGAGATATCAATGTTATAGGCAGACATTGAAAAGTGTTGCTGCTAGCATTAATGACTTGCCTTTTCATATATGTACAAATTTCCATCTGCATGAGCCACCACAAAAGCGCCATCACCATTAGGCACCCATGCAATACCAGTACAACGACTGTAGAAAGCAAAAGGATTACTTAATCAGACAAGACCAAAGGTACATAAATCTCGATGTATCTCACACCAAACAAGGGCCATGATTAATACATTAGAACAAAAGACGTCAGTGTATCTTCTATAATGTCCAGAACAAAGATTTCAAAGGTATCACATTGAAGTAGAAAGCTAGTACCTACTATTGAAAAAAGGGGAGGGTAGAAGATAAATCAAATGATAGACTAATATGAGAGTAAATTTCTATCACTGTGACCAATACAGTCAAATGTTTGCTAGGATTAATAGTAAACTACGGTGCATCCAATTTAGCTAATGCTAGCGGCAGGTCCAGGATACACTAAGAGATTTCTCCGCAAATTCAGAAACCATTCCATCAAGTAAATGCTTTTGGAATTATATCCATCTAAAGGTGAGATGTATAATCTTTAGCCATTTTCGACCAACAACAAATAATTCTTGAAACAGTGATTTGGGCCAAAAAACCATTGATCCTTATACCAATAGAAAAGTCCTCCTTGTCCAGTACTTAAGCATTGCTTCATTTCTCTTCTATCGTAACATTAGCCTTTGCAACAGTCTATAGCACATGAATTGAAAATTTACTAAGCTTTTCTATGCTGACCCACAGCTACAAATGCAGATAAATTGATCAAAAATGTGTCTTCAATAGCCATACCATACAACACTACTGTGTATGACTAAACAAGGCATGTATAGGGGAAAACTTGTAAGGATTGAGTTAAGGTCTCGCCTATTATTAACACAACCATCTTTGTTATAATGCTGTGCTCCAACAAGCTTCTTCCCCACATCTTGCAATTGTTGTCTTAGTGACACTGAATAAACTACAAAAGATGCAAACAGAAGTATTATTCGCAAATACTGAAAACTGTCCATAAAAGTAACTTTCAAATGGGAGAAACAATTACCATCTCCAGAATTCAAACCAATGAGCAAATCATGCCCATCCTTGGCATCTGGATCAAACGCATGGCAAGCAGGATTTGAATTACTGAAATGTATGGACTTGATAGGATCCTAAGTAGGAGACCAAAACTCTTAAAACCCAAAAAGCATTAAAGTAATGTAATACCAATAATTCCAAACGTATTTTTGTGTGTGCACATATATTTAAATTTATATTAGAGAACATAAGCACCCAATTACCTTGTCTTGAGAATTCAAATCACTGATTAAAATCACATCTCCAGCATTGAATATCAAGTAAGTCCCCTTCCCGTCAAAATTTGAATTACCCAACAGACCATTTGAACTAGAAGCCCCCAACGATCCAACTCTATTAGTCCCACTAACTGATTTACTCCCACCATTCCCTCCAACAAAACCAAGCGCCCTACTTCCATTCCCACCGCCTAATAATCTTGCAGCAGCTGATCTAACACCACTGCTAACACCCAGACTTGAGGATGATGGCTGTGCAGTCTGGGTTGGCTTATCCTTCAGATGAGCTAGGGTCACCTGACAATCAAAGCGATTATATAATTGGGTTGTTTCAAAAACTGACTTGGAAATCAGACTTTGGGAGAAAAAAAAAGAAAACCAAAAGCATTCAAATTAACAATAATAATAATAAAAATCGCCGGTAAACCGATTCCCAAAGAATAAGTTGATTTCGAATACTGATTTGTAGGGTGAACTCAAAACTTACAACTTTCTGATTGAAACGTAATCTCAAAAAATCAAAACTTTCTGACAATAGATTAACAGAAAAATCCCCCTAAATTAACTACAACATGCTAAAACAATCAAAACCAACCCAAAACATCGATTCATACAAATTGGCTAAGATGACAAAACGATTTTCAACTATGGTTTGATCACAAAAAGTACTTTACACAATGGTTATACAGAAAAAAAAAACCCTAAAAATTAAAGTGAGTGAGAATACTTGAGTGACAGTCTTGCCATGGGCGAAGTGAAGGAGACCAGCAGGGTAAGTCTTCTCATACTGGAGCTTGTAACGGCCTTCCGGGGTCTTGAAATAGGTCTTCAGACCAGGCGATTGTGCGCCGTTGGTCGATGTTGCCGACGAGGACATCATACTATTACTACTGCTCGTTGTATTGATCATTGTCACCAAATCAAACTGATATCTCCACCAATAAATAAATGAATAAATATGAAAAAAAATATGTGATTTAAAAGATCAAGAAGATCATGATATTGCAATATTGCAATTGGGTCTTCTCTATGGTCCGTTTGTTTGGGTCTGTGTTTCGTCTTCTTTCTTCTTTCTTCTTTCTTCTTTCTTCTTTCTTCTTCAACGGGTACCTGTGCCAGTAAGATCAAGGGTTTGGGGGGTGGTGTGGGTTTGAGTTATGGGACTGTTGAGAGAGAAAAGAACAGGTGGGTTTTTTCGACGGGGACGATTGACTTTGTGCTTTTGCTCGATGGCACGGACGGCTGGGACAACTCAGTCTTCTCTTTCTCTCTGTTCTCTCCCTCTCTCTCTTACGACGTTGGGATTCACTCTTGAAAAACAGTTCTGTTTACTTTGGCAAGGGACAAAATCTTCGTTGACAACATCACATTAATTTTTAGTGTATATTGTAATTTTCAGTATAAGCCTAAACATGAGTTTAAATTACGTTAATAGTTATTTAATTTAATAACTAGAGAGAATTATACTCAGATCACCTAAAACATGTCACTTAATCACCAAAAGTTCTTGATATTTAAAATATTACATACAGATTTTTTGAAGTTTGTACACGCTTAAAACCATGTCGTCAATGTTCATTAATAAATCCGTTAGTAAATTACACCTTGACTTATTGAAGTTTATAAGCGTATAACACTTAGATCTCTTAAATTTAAAATGTTATATTTAGATCAAAGATACTCCAATCAAAAATAAAATATCAAATATTTTAAATTTTATAATCAAAATTCATGTTATATTTGTATCATTTACTGAAATAAAATTAGAAAAAAATTATTTTTTTCTTAAAAAATCATAATTAGTACAATTATATTATCTATTAGAATAAAACTAAAAAAACAAACAATGAGTCTAAATCATTCATAATAGAATATAAATTTTACAAATAAGATTCATATTCTATTGTGTCATATATTGAAATAAAATCAAAAATAAAAATATATTTTTTTCTTAAAAGTTATAATTAATATACAATTATACTATCTATTAGAATAAGACTAAAAAATCAAATAAGGGGTCAAACTGTAATTGACACCATATTTTCTAACTTTAATTGAGGTAATTTTGTAGTTTAATTTGATTGTTTAAACTGTCAAATTAAATTTTAATAAATAGTATAATTGTATACTAATTATAATTTTTTAATAAAAAATTAAATTTTGATTTTTGATTTTATTTTTATAAATGTCATAATAGAACATAAATTTTGATTGTAAAATTTAAAATATTTGATAATTTATATTTGATTAGAGTATTTTTGGTTTATGTATAACATTTTAAACTTGAGAAGTCTATGTATTATACGCTTACAAACTTTAGAGGAGTTGAGCGTAATTTGCTAACAACAATACTAACGAACATTGGTGACAAGAAATCTAAATGTTATGTATGTACAAACTTTAGGGGGTTGTGTGTAATATTTTAAATATCAAGAGGTCTAAATGATTAAATGAAAAATATCAGGGAGTCTGAGTGTAATTCTCCTTAATAACTATTATATTAAAAAAATAGAGTTAACTAATTTTATTTAATATTTTATTATTGATTAGTAATATTACATATCAAGAATAACGTGATATAACTGTTACATCAAATATTATTTATGGTGCAACAAAGTGGATTAAGATACTATACAACACAAATAATTGAGTGTCAGTCGTGTAGTATAAACACTAGTAGGATTCCGTATAAATGCAAGATTAAGTGTCAAATACAAAATATATCTAATTATTCTCGCAATTTTAGTAAAAACCCAAAAATATTGTGTGCATTGGGCGACCTATGAGATATGTGAGGATATAGACACAAAGTGTGAAATGTTTTATTGTCACCGTAAGATGAGAGTGCTAAAGTTGTCTACTAATAATATGAAGATATAAACATTTTATAGAGTTTAACATTTCAATAATTACTAAATATATTGTGGATATATTTAATTCGTAATTTGCACTACTAGATAACCATTAATGCAATTGAATTAACAAATAACATTGATCATACACAAATATTACAACCTTGAATGTCATGAAATAAATTATATCATTAAAGACTATGTTATACATGAATCAATTAATAATGATTTATGTGAAGAAGATGACCATGAATATGGCATAGAATGTTTCGGAAGCAAGAATTGAACATAAAATAAATTCAATGTCTTTAAAATAACTTAAGTCAAAATTGCGAAATCCATAACAATCAAAATGATAATATGAATATTTAGCCAACAACCACAAAAGTAAGCACCGTGATGCTATGATAAAAATAAATTGGGTAAATTAAATTCACAACTCATGACATTTGACTTTATTATACAGACACCCCTTCACATTTTAAATATTACACTGAAACCCCTTGACATTTGAACACGTGTTATAGCCGCACCCCCTTTTGTCTAACAGACGTTAAAAATTTCCTTAAAAAGACTTTTTGACCCTTGTCATTGAGATTAACCAATGCCCAAATTCAATCTATCAAACTCTCCTCTCTATTTGATTAAGTCAAAATAAATAAATTAAAAAAAATCCAAACCTCCACACCACTCAAAAACCTCAGCCCCAACCCTAACTCTAATCATATTTTCCTCAATCCCCTTCACCACCCCCACACAAATCAAACCTAACACATAATGTAACATGTTTGGCGGTTGTGGGCAGTAGACGCCGATGGAAAGTGGTGGTGGTGGCGGTGGTGTTAAGACATAACTTTAGCAAGGTAAATTTGGTATAATCATTGAAATTTGATAAAAATTGTTGTTAATTCAAAATAAATTAACGTTATTAGTTTAAGTGATAAGATTGAATTTGGTGATAAAATTATAAGGTTAAATTTTAATTAGGTGTTAAATTTGTTTAAGTGTTAAGTTTAATTTGAATTAACTGTTAAATTCATTTAATTAAGGTCTGATTTGTAATTTAGTTTACTTGAGTTTTTTTTTTCATCTCAAAATGGAGGGTATGATGGAATCCATTATTTTATGGAATTTGGGGTCTCAATGTAATTTTTGAAATGTGAAGGGGGTGTCCTTGTAATAAAACTAAATGTCCAGGGGTGTCACTGAAATTTACTCAAATAAATTTCACTGCCAAAATCAATAGCACCACCCAGATGAACGTGTAAGGCCTCCAAAGGAAATATTAATATAATTTGAAGTTTTCACCATTGACAAAAAAAATTAAAATTCATTTTTCCTTCCTCCACAACAAAACCAAAAGAAAAAGATAAAGAGAAATAATTACCTAAAAATTATTATTCAACTAGTTGGATCTTAGGCTTCAACTGAACTCCCATGTTTTCCAGAACTTTAAAAACGTGTCCATTCTCAAGATAATATTAGTCACAAAATATTAGTGACCAATTGAAGTGAACGAGCGCTTGAAATGATTTAACAAGTAAAAATGGATGAATTCTGAATATAAGATAGTTTGTAAAATTTCATTAGTCACGTTGTAAGGTGACTAATGAAATCATCCAGAAGACTTAGTAGTTAGTATCATAGAGAGCTAAAATTCTTGTTAAATCATAGGGTGATGACTCTGTTGTTTGCTTGAAAGTGTTGTGGTTGAGAATGTTTAGGAGACTGAAGTAGTGGGGAGACAGTTAATAAGAATAAAGGGTCAGATAATTTTTAAACAATTAATTAATAAAAATTCTGAAATAATTGAAATGAAGTTCGGAAGAAAGTGACCCTAAATAACTGTTTTAAACTATTTAATAATAAGCTAATTCAAAAATTGAAAGAAAGATTAGGAGAGGTGGAAGTTAAAGTGAGAGGCGGGTGGGAGAAAAATACAGAGAAAGGAGAGACGGGTCGAGGAAAACAAGTGTAGTGAGAACAAGGATAACTTTGTAGTTGTTGGAATGAGATATCTAATTAGAAAATTTAAACATTGTAGAATTATGAGATATCTAATTAGAAAATTTAAACATTGCAAAAAATAGAAACAGTTTAGTAATGTGGATATAATAATTAAAAACTGAAAATTCTAGAAAAATAGGACGGCTAGAATGGTGGTTTCTCCTTGTCTGTAGATACATCTCTTAGAAAAATAAAATAACATTTTATTTATTTATTTATTTTTTTATAATTACACAATTTAAAATAAATCTTGTCCCACCATTTAAAAGGTATGGAATGAGTGGAATTTTCAACTTTGAGAGGAATTTGACCTTGATTAGTGTAACGATATGGTGTTTGAAGATCGATGATTAGGACATAAGTTAGTGTATGAGTGCAATTAAGGGTTTGGAGTCTAGAGTGCGGGAGCATGAAATGATAGCTTCTGAGTATCTACGTTGATGACCTGGAGGTGAATAGGATGTTAGCTAGGTACAGGAACATGGTTGACGAAGAAAAAAAGGATTGGGATGCGCAATCAGGTGAGCTAAGGGTTAGCGTGTATTGGGTACTTAGAGGTGTGGGAGTTTCATTTACGTATCAAATTGGAGGTCACCTTAATGTCCAAAAAATTAATTAAATTTTTTTAGTGCTTGATTTAATATATGTGTAATTTTGAAAAACAAATTCAGTCAAAATGGTGAAATTACCAAAATGCCACTAGAAAGCTTCAAGCTTCTTCTAAATGGCCGGATGAGGTGTCCTTACTGCATGCTTTCCACAAAGATGCTAGGTGGAGGTGATTCAACATTTGAGAGGTATAAGAAGCAAAGGAAAAATCGTTTGGGGAGAGAGAGAAAGCTTAAACTTGAAATTTTTGGATTTTCATAGAGGAAGCTTTGAACAACAAGAGGTATACTATTAACCTAATATGAATGCTAAGAACTCATTTATGTAATTCGATTTTGATTTAATTTAGTTTTAATGCATGAATTTGTGTTTTAAAGTTTAGTAGGTTTTAGATTTCATGAAATGGGTATTTGAATTCGAAGGATTTTTGCTTAATTGGTTAATTGGGTTGTGTTTTAGGGAGTTCAAGTAGTTATTTGGTGGTAGTGGTGATGGAACGGTGGCGTGAGGGTTTGAAGAAGTTGAAAATTTGATTTTTAGAAAAAAATTGTTTTAAGCTTCGAACGGGAACTTGAGTCTAGGTAATTTGGACTCAAGGAATCAATTTTCGGCCTCAAAATTAGATTTAGAGGTCATTTAGGGGGGGTTGAAATAGGCATATGCAAGGCTGCCCTTGTGTTTAAAAAGTGAGTTTCGACCAACTTTGACCATAATTTTGATTGGGTTTAAGTGAGATTCGAGGACCGAGACTTATTGGATTTGAAACTAGGATATGTAGAGAGTTTGCAGGTTCTAAAAATGCGAAATTTGGTGTATTGTAGTAGCAGAACCATGGGGTCAAAGTTGGGTGGTTGAACAGAATTTTGGGAACCTAGGGTTAAAGTTAAACATTCCAAGAAAGAAGATAAATAGTGTCTAAACTTTCTAATAGCGATTTGAGGTTTTTCGGGTGGTTTTTAGAGATCCAATCAATGCTATCCGATTTAATTTTTTATAAGGATTCCAAAAATGGTCACTATTTTGCTATCCGACACTCTAGACAAAATTGTTTAAAATGATCGTTTTACCCCCGAGTCTCAATTTGACCTAAGAATGGAATTTTTGAACCAAACAAATTTAAAAACACATTTAGGGAGCTAGTTTAATTTTATTCTTAAAATATTACTAAAGATGATTATTTTTCTATTTTTGGCAATTTCAGATCGAAATAGAATTTCTCAATTCCGAAACAAGCGATACTTTTCAAACTTGTTTCTAAATTATTCCATATGTTATTTATGATTATTTTATATCTTTTGAAATATATGATTGAGTGTTTTGAATATTAACTTGGAATTCGAAATCGGATTAAGGATTTTGAGTATGGTTCGCACAAATGGCCACAATGATCATATTGCTTTTATTGTTCATATTGAATGAAACTCTGGGATCCTTTTGGAATTAAATATAAGTGCGCAATGGTCGAGTGACAGAGGGTTTATGTTTCAGTTTGATGTCTTAGAGGGTTTTTCATTGAGTTTTTAAATGCCTAAGTGGCCCTATTGGTCTTTGGACTTGAGTACTGAATTGTTACTAGGGAGCATATCTTTCATGGGGTAAAAATCCCCCAAAATGTTGGATTGTATGTTCGTATTGACCCTGAATAGTATATTAGGATGATCGTCCACTAGTGCAACACTATATTAATGTTATGATCGTATTATTGTTTTCAACTTAAATGCTTTCGTTCAATGTTTTCTGCTCTGTTATTTATATATAAAATGAACCTTTGATATTGTCCAATCATGTCAAATTGTGGTATTTTCAAACTTGTTTATTTAGAAATTAAGTTATTCTACTGAGCTATTGATACTCACTCTACATTATTTCTTCTTTTTCTGATTAGCAGGTGGTGGAAAAGTTCGTGAAAGTTTGAACTGCCAGTTTTCAGGACTTTTATTCTAAGGTTGAATAATGTTGTTGAGGCATATAAATTGTAGTGAGCATAATGTACTTGTGTAGATTGTAACAAGTCTACCACTGAGTCGTATTATAGATGTGAATGAAACGTTTATCTGTTGAACTTAATAGCAAACACTTGATTAGTTTTTGGAAATGGTATCAAAGTTTACTCTTTATTTGGAGACTATATTATTTAGTAACTATGGAGACTATTAGCACTCTGAATATTTTGCTAAATGGGTCGGGGTGTTACAGTTTGGTATCAGAGTTTAACCATTGTTGGGAGATTGAATTGTTTATTTCTAATGGAGGCTATTAGAGCACTCAATATTATGGAAATGGGTTAGGGTTTTACAATTAGGTGAGACGATACAATGTAAAATTCAAACACCTAAAAAATTGATTTGATCCCACTATATCTAATTACATAATTTAAAATCAATTTTCTATCCATTATGTTTTAAAAAAATCGATAATTTGTTTTTCAAAATATATGACTCAACTAAATATCAATATGTGTTAGACTATATGAATAATGTCTGAAATAAAAATTGTATTGAGTCAAAAGTTAAATGATTTAACTTGTTTATAGAAATTAGTGATGTTATAGAAATAGGTAGTAAAAATATACGAGAGTAAGATTCAAACTCATAACTTCCTTGTTATATAGATTGGAGGGAATTTGACCTTAATTAGTGTGAAAAGATATGGGCTAAGTGAGATTTTTCAAGTTCGGGGAAAAAAATTTTGGGTAATGATTTTGAACCATCGGATTGAATAAATCTCAATAACTCTTATGTTAAATTAAGGAATTTCGAAGAAGAAAATTTTTTTTAGATCTAAATATCACGTTTAATATTTTGACCAAAATCTATCATCTCAACTCAGGTTATTTATTACACTTGGCAGGCTGTGACACTACGTTGAATGACTTTATGCTTTTCGAGGGTTATGGTAAAATTTATGCAATCCTTTACTTTATTTGTATTACTTTTAGTTAGACACATTTTCATATTTTTAGATCTGAAATACCAAAAAATAAAATAAAATAGAAATCATGAGTAAAGATGGTTTCATAAACTACATTTGGGCCTGGTTTTTGCTAGGGTGAACCATCTCCGTTGCCCTGCTTTTATAGTCCAAACCATCCATCCTTTTTAAGGGCCCATGAAGCTAATTTCGACAAGGGTCTTTCGAAGGCCTATACACTTAATTAGACATATTACAGTTTAAATCCATCAAGAAAATTATTTTTGGAAAGAAGTCAACTAGTGAGAAAAAAGACTATACTAACCTTCAAAATAATACTCTAGTTGTCTAACCGGATTAAGAAATTCATAATTCCGTCCCCTTTTATTCACGACAAAATAAATATTCCCATTAATCCACTCCATTATTTAATGTTAATCCATGACTATTGGGGATGTGTGTGTGGTTCCTTATGAAGTTTTGTTTTAAGCATTTCAATAGGATTTAAGCATGGTGATTCAATCCCTAATGAACAAGCTTGGCATGTGTTAGGTTCCTTTTTATCATTGTCTTAAAGACATTCTTTTATTATTTCAACCTTTTCTTGAACTGAAAATTATTCCAGAAGCTTACATAGTATTCTCGAATAAGTCGAGAGGAAATCCATTATGATTGTGGTCAGAGCAAAAATACCATGTCCATACCCAAAGAATAAAAAATTCAGTAGAGAAGTAAATTATGGTTTTATCCTCAATCTTATTCTCCTTTAAGTATGTAATTTTTTGCTTATAATGATTTAACAATTGTAATATTTGAGGTGGATATATCTCTTCCACAATACCATGGTTTCCCACCATAAGTAAAACTAGTTCGATATTCCTATTACGGAAGAAGCAAAATAGAAGTACCAAGTGTGTCTTAGTGCTAAATTTTGAAAATAAAAGGCATTATGCTATGCTTGGATATAATCAAAGTAATTATATTGACTATATGGATATTTAGTCAGTTTTCTTAACTTATAGCAAGATTTAATCTCCTTTTTTCAGACAATATCCATAGTAAATGATGATGCACAAATTGATTTTATGCACCACTTGTCAAGTAATAAATGCAATAAATAAATAAGGAGAGGCAACACAAGCAAAACACAATTTAAGTTGTTCGGTCAAGGTGACCTACTCCAGTACGAAGGACTATGATGACCTGAGTGTTTTATTGCTTCAAGGAATGTTGGGTGCTCAAGTGTGAATGATATGTGAGATACAAGATATGAGAGATGCCTCCTATGTGTAGGCGGGACTTATAATTTATAGGCACATCCTAACAGATTAAGACGCTTGATCAGTAACAAAAAAGTTGATTTGGTGGAGTGGGCGTCATCCTCATGACAGGTGAGGCAGTTGCTAAGAGGGCATGGAGATTTCAAGAATAGGTCCCAGGATGGCGTGGCAGACTTCCTCACACTAGGATGGTGTGGCGGACCTCCTGACTCCTTGACTTTAGGATGGTGTTGCTTTTGAGGCTTTGGTGAGCCTGACCAGATCTAAATCTCTTTTGGGTTGGACCCATTGGGACTTGTCTGGGCTAGGCCCACTATTTGAGTTAGCCTAATTTAGGCTAGGATCATTATCTGAGTTGGGTCTTAGGTCCGGCCTATCATTTTCCCCATGCCCCGAGCCCAATGATTTGGGGGAGAGGGCATTAGTTGGTCTAACTGCGGCTGAACTCTTTTCCTTAACGAGGAGATATATATATTATTTTTTTAGGCTTATTTTTTTCTTTTTGGTATGGATTATCCTCATGAGAACTTCTCAAGGTCAATCCTACTCTAACTAGGATAGCCAATCCAATTAGTTAACTGCCAAAGTGAATGAGAGCTCTTCAATGTCAATCCTACTCTAATTAGGATACTTGAATGTCAATCTTACCAGGTAATTCCCATGGTTGGGCAATAAATAGGTCTCTCCTTCTTTCCTTTTGCTCCATTCCTTGATAGGGCTAGACTGAAGAGTGATGGAGGGGAAAGGTGGTGTGAGTGAAGCAAACACAAGCAAGGTAGGTATAGGCGTAGCTTGCGTGGGCACAGCGGGGGCTGTCTGGGGTGCAAGAGCTGCCCGGGGGGCAGTCTTGGGCACTCAGGGCGTCGTGGTTGGTGTTGGCACATGGGTAGGTGCATGTACAGGAATGAGCACAAGAGCTTGGGGCAGGTGGTAGGTGCTGCGACACAGGCATTCGGGCTATCTATTAGGAATAAGCTACACGAGGAGACAAGGTTAGACATGTGGCGAGAAATGATGATGGTAGTGCTCCTTCTCATCCACAAAGATGCAAGTATCGTGGTAAAGTGTCTACTGATGATTGCTCTAAGGTATACTCTATATGTAGCTTCTTTAACACTAATGTTGAGATTGCTAGGATTATATCCACTTTTTGCATTCCTTCTGTGGTGTTGTGCTGTTGGGCTGAGATGGGCAAGCCAGCCTCTAATGATTCCTCGGGGGACATTGTTATTTATGAGGAGGTACTTAAGGCGAGCTTAAGGTGTCCCATACCTTCTCCCATTTGTCAGATTCTTCATTATTTTTCACTCATGCCGGGGTGTTTGTCGCCTAATGGTTGGAGAGTTCTGTTGGGATTTCTTGCACTATGGAGGAGGGTGCATTATGAGGATGTGTCCTCTGAAGAGTTTTCTACTGCTTATATTTTGAGTGAAACTCTTGCTCCCAATTGCGGCTGATATTACTTCACTTCGAGGGGAGGAAAATTAATTGTTGGGTTGTGATCTAATTGACATAGCTAGAAGGATCGCTTTCTATTTGTGGGAGGAGAGTGGGATTCAGAGGCAGATAGGGCTCTGGTACCAGTGAGGTGGGGCCTTCCAAAGAGGATAGGTACAACTTTTCTCCTTTTTTTTTTTTGGTATTAACCACCCTTTTTCTAGGCTCCCCGGTGCTCTCAACAGATCAAGAGTAGAAGCTCCAGGTCGTGGGGGCCTGTCCCGCAAGGGACTATGAGACCCTCATACCTAGAGAAGGTGAGGCTAGGGACCCTCATTTTGGAGATGCTAGGAGAGGTGTGTCTTCTTCCAAGGCTAGTAGATCCTCAGTGAAGAGAAAATGTATGTTGGGTTCCTTCAGATCTCTCTCTTTTTTTTATTAGGGTAACATTTTACCCTTTTTTAGTGGATAGAACAGTGGTGGAGTCCCATTATTCCACTAAAAGTACTCCTCCACCCAAGATGATCAGGGTGGATGATGTTCAAGCGGACCTTTCTCAGATGACCATTCCAATGGCTCCTCCCCAGATAGCTTATTTAGTGATTCCTTTAGAGGTTCTTCTAGTTATTGCTCTAGTGGTGACTGCCCCTCCAAAGGCTCCTTAGGTGACTGCGCCTCCTGTTCTCCATACATCTAATTCTATGATAGGGACTTTTGCAGGGGTAGGCTCTTAGATGATGTACATGCTAGATGATGTGTGGATCATTAGGGAATGACTTAGGAGATTTGTGTTCTATGTAGAGATCAGGCAGGTTAGTGCTTGGGGTACCGAGGGCATTATTGACACCGTCCTAGAAGGCTTGGCTCAGGTAAGTGTCTGTTCTCTTCCTTGCCTTTGTGTCTCCTTTATGGTGCTGACGTTTCTTTATCTTTTTCAGGTTTTTACTGCTTCTGTATGCTTGTTGCAAGGTTTATTCAGTTTAGCTAGCTACACTCGATTGTCAATGAGGAGATGCTTGCTTATGAAGTTGTAAAGGGGGAGTTGTTGGCAGCTCATGAGAGGATTGCCAAGCTTGAGGTTAATGGTGAGGATTCCCAGGCAGAGCTTATGGCCACCCGTGAGAGGCTGCTCTTAGTAAGGCTGCCTGTTCAAGGCCGAGGTAGAACTTGTAGCGACCTTTGAGAGGGCTACTCTTAGTGAGGCTACCTACTCGAGGGTAGTGAAAGAGCTTGTGGCGACCTGTGAGAGGGTTGCACGTAATGAGGTTGCCTGCACGAGGGTAAATACAGAGCTTATGGTGACCCACGAGAGGGCCGCTAAGCTGGAGACTAATGACAAGGCTGTCCGCTTGAGAGCGGAGGCAAAGTTGGAGGTGGCTTGTGAGAGGGTTTTTCGAGCTGAGGCGGATCTGTGATTGGCCCATGAGAGGGCTACCAAGGTCGAGGCTGATTCAGAGGGAAGCTTCGCAGATGCCTTCATTGACGGCTATGAGGAGCTAAGGGGAAAAATTTTGACTGTCTTTCCTGATATTGACTTCTCAGGGTTTGTTTCATACAAGGTGCCACCGAGTGATGATAATGATGGCGATCATGGTGGCGATGACGATGGAGACTCTGATGGTAGAGCCGAGGACAACAAGGAGGATGGCGACAACAGTGAGAGTAGTTAGAGTACTGAGGAATTTTGATTTTTTTTAGTAGATAGAAAGTGTTAGACTATGCTCTAACTTTTGTAATAGTGAACTTTGTCTTTTAGAGTTTCATCTGAGATTTATTTGAAATAAAATGCAAGGCAACTTTTTGGAGTAAATTCAAAAAATTTTATTTAATGATTGCCCATAATAGGCAATGGTGGGCAATAATCCCAAAAAAGGTACAAGTCTTTTGACTAAAAGGAAAAAATAAAATCAAGTCCTTCAGCTTTATCACTTCTGCCCTCCTCGAGTGTTATTGATAATATCTCTTCAAATGTTCAATATTCCATAGATGAGGTAAGAGCTTTCCCTCAAAATTCTGGATTTTGTAGGTGCCCGACCTTATTATCTGTATCATAGTGTACGACCCTTCCTAGTTTAATCCGAGTTTTCACTCTTGTGAGTCTTTCGTGGTGAGTATTACTTTCTTGAGGACTAAATCTCCAAGTAATAAGGAGCGAGGCTTCACCCTCGAGTTATAGTATTTTGTCATGCGGCATTTGTATTCCATATTTCGGACCATGGCCATCTCTCTTTCCTCCTCTATCAAGTCTAGGTTGATGCGGAGGCCTTCTTCATTAGTGATGGGGTCGTGGTGTTGGACCCTTAGGGAATGTATCCAAATCTCTACAAGTATGACTGCTTCTATTCCAAAGGCAAGGGAAAATGGATTCTTGCTAGTGGGGACTCTTGGTGTTATTTGGTATGCCCACAACACCCCTGGGAGCTCGTCTACCCAAAGACCCTTGGCTCTTTCTAGCCTAGTCTTCAAATTGTGCAATATTGTCCTGATTGTGACCTCTGCATGTCCATTTGCTTGCAGGTGTGCTAGGCTAGAATAAGGCTGCATGATTTGGAGGCTGGCGTAGAGAGAGTTTAGGAGTTTGTTGTTGAACTGCTTGGTATTGTCGTTGACTATGGCATGGGGCACCCCAAAGCAGCAGATTAGGTTTTTTCAGATAAAGTCTTTAACCTTTACGTCTGTTATCTTGGTTAAGGGCTTAGCCTCCACCCACTTTGAGAAGTAGTCAACAACTACTACCACAAATTTACATTGTTCTTGGTTGATGGGTAGAGGGCCCAAGATGTCGATGTCCTCTTGTAGAAGGGCCAGGGACTTATGATGGCTGTCAATTCCTTTGGTGGCTGTCTAGGCACGGTGGCGAAGCGTTGACACTTGTCATATTTTCTAGTGAACTCTCGGGCATCCCTGACCATGTTAGGCTAGAAGTAGCCTTGTCTGATCGCCTTATGGACTAAGGAGCGTCCTCTAGAATAATTTCCACAAACCCCCTTATTAATTTCTCGCAAGGCGTAGTCAGCTTCCTTTAGAGAGAGGCAACATAGTAGTGGTAGAGAGTAACCCTTCTTGTACAGGATGTCCTATAGAATGGTGAACTTAGAGGCCCTCAATCTAAGCTTCTTGGCTTCCAATGGTTTATCTGGCAGTGTGCCCTCTTGTAGGTATGCCTTAATGAGGGTCATTTAGTTCAACTCAAAAGATGTGCAGTTGATGTTAGTGGTTTCTACACTTGGTCTACTTGGTTCAAATTGGTGACCAGTAAATGCCAGTCCTGGTGGGACTTCTAACGATGAGGCAAACTGGCCAACACATCAACTACAACATTTTCATCCGATGGAACATGGTGGATTTGGAAATGGTGGAACTTGGTTAGTAGGTCTTGCACCAATATCAGGTACTCCTACAGCCTGACTTCCTTTGCTTCAAACTCCCCCCTCACTTGGTTGACTATCAACTGAGAATCACTGTAGGTGATGAGGCGTTGGGTTTCCATTTCAACTTCCAACCTTAGGCTAGAGAGGAGGGCTTTGTATTCTACTTCATTATTGAAGGGTACAAAGTGAAGTGTAATGACATATTTGATTGGAGTGCCATCGAGGTTGATTAAATTAGGCCTACTCCAGTTCCGTCACTGGTTGAAGAGCCATCCACATAAAGTTTCTAGGGAGATGACTCTGTAATGCAGGGAGGCGATAGGGGCGAGGAGGCAAATGGGGCCATGCCTGGAGAGGGGCCCCGAAGGCCGTAAAGGATAACAAGTGCATATTTTGCATATAATTTTACATATTTGATGGCCTCATTACATGCATTTTAACTTAACTTTGCATTTAATTACTTAGAGTTAGTCGAGTTTGTGAATAATGTTGAAATCTTGTGGTTGCAGGTAATTATAGCTTAAATGATGGATTTTAGAACCTTGCAACTAAATGTAGATGTGTGGTGAAGATATAAACACATTACTTGAGGATTTGGAGGCTTAAAAGTATCGGTGCTTGGCAGCATAGGCACTAGCACCCGCACCGTTTGGTTGTAGTATCTTAGCTTTTTTCCTTTTTGACCATGATCTACTTCGAATTTGAAGAAGTTTAAAACATCAAAGTTGTAGATCTGGATGTTTTCTGTTTTGTGTCAAAATTTAAACTTAATTGAACGATTGGATCAAAAGTTATGATAATTCTATGAAAACTGGTCCAGAGTAGGCAACCTATAGAAAATACCTACTGGTAGTTTTTACTCCAGTAGCCAAAACCTACCGGTAGATCGCTAAAAACCTATCAGTAGGTTTTTTCCAAAATGCCCAGAACGCCTGCAACTCATGCTCGACTTGCTTGGGGGTCCCACCATTGATTTTCCCACTTGTCCCTTGACATCCCTTACACATTTACATGCTTCCTACATCCTAGTGGAAGACTTTGGAGGTAATGGCATTAATGTGGATGGGAGACAAGGGGGCAGCCATAATGGGTGCAGGCTAAACTCTTCCTAGCTTGTCCAATGCATCAAATCACCCCCATTGATGGGAGGCCTGCACACCCATGCTAGGGGGACCACCATGGACGAAAATGTAAGACTCCTTCACCATATAT